TGTATCGATGTGGCCTGCAAGAAGTTTGTTGCAATCCTTTTGTGAAAATGGTGTTCAGTCTCTGATCTCTGATTAGAACTCCAGTTCCGCCGAGGGCTTTCCCATCTGGATGATCTGTGCCGTAGATTGTGTAGCCTCTTATTTAAAAGTTGTATTTGCTTATAAGATGCGTTTCCACCAGTAGCATAACGTCAATATGGTTTTCGGTCAAGAATTGTGACAATTCTAGTTTATGCCGTGAGACACCATTGGCGTTCCACATTGATATTCGTAGCGCCTGCATAGATTATTTAGACTGTTGTGCTACGATCAGCTGTATCACCATGTTCTGGTTTTGAACAAGCGTTTGCATGGTCGTTTTCATGAATGACATAAGCTCCATCATACTTTGTTGGAGGGTAAGCATCATAGTTTCCGTTTTGCTGTCTGGCTGTTCTAGGGCCTGTTGAGCGCTTTGAGAGTAAGGCTAAATTGGAATTTCCCTTCCAGATCGTAGAGATTCGGCATAGGAGAAGCCGTTGGTGGTGTTTAGTGGACCGAATGAGGATCTGGCAGCTTTGGCGAAGAAGACGTCTGGCGTAGTTTTTGACGCAATGTACGCATTCTATGGAGACCGCGTTGCGGTCGCTTGACGCATGCGACTCTTTAACTCCTTATACACCATACATCCTCTATAGTTTGCCGTTTGGTTGCCTCCGCAGTTTCCACATTTCTTCACGGTACAGTCCTTGTTTGTAGTGCAGTAAGCGGAGTTGTGGGCATCCCCGCAGACTACACGGACAGCCCGAAATGTGCAGTAAGACCTTGTGTGTCCATACTCTTGACAATTAGTGCATTGCACTGGACCGTTGCGTTTATGTGGCTCTTCAACAGTGATTTTCCGATGCAAAAGATATTGCAGGTTGTGGATTGGGTGGACTTCGTTCTTCTTCAACGACTTGTTTTCTGGCTCGAGCTCGACCATGAAGAGGGGTTGTGGCTTTTTATCTTTATTTTGAATGTTAATAACATTCTTGGCGGCGAAGCCCCTTTCTTTAAGTACTGTTTTTATTTCCGGTACTGCGGTAACATCTGTTTCTATTCCCTTTACAACCACTTGTAGGCCCTGTACTGCTTTTCAGCTGGTACGTGTAATAGTTTTTCTGTTCAGTGTCCAGATATTTGCCCACGATTCGGAAATGCTCTTCAGTCTTGGTTTGCACCTTTGTTTCATGGACGTTCCCTTTGATAAGCGGAACAACATGAAAGTTGTTACCGTTCCCGATCAACGACGGAATTTTGTTGACCAGGGCACTCGAGCTTTTCTCCCTGTTTTAGATTGGAGGGGGTTTGGGTTTTTTTGCGGTGTCTTGGGCTGGTTGGTTTTCCTCAACCTCCGCCAGTAGGGCAAATCTGTTAGTATCTGGTTCTTTATCGATCTTCAGGACTCGGTTAATGTTTGTTTTATTGCCTGCCGGATTACTCTGCGGGCTAAGCTTGCGCTTAATTTGGATGTAGCGATCCATTCCAGTCTGTGTGGCCGTGGCCACTTTGGCACTTTCCGAAGTTGGTGTTTTTGTAGTCGTTGACGTCGCGGTACTTTGAGTTGCAGTGGTTGTCGCTGTGATTGCAGAAATTGTAGCACTGCTCTTTGTTGTTGCGAAATTTGTTTCCGATATTGGAGGGGGTTGTTTCCGTTTCTTTCGTTCACTGAACTTCTACGCTCGTTCTTTTTATCGTTGCTCAATGAGCTCATTGCGTGGCACTTTTTTTTTTAACAATGCACTAGTTTTGGTTTAGCACATCACAACTGTTCTAAAAAGCTTGTCTATTGCTTTTAATAAATTGTAGTATAGCGTCTTTTCGCTTATATTGGGCTACCCCAGTTTTTTGATTAGCTGTATTATGGTGCAGTTTTCCCGGAGCTCAAACCAAGCACGTGCGCTCAGTTCGGTAGTGCGATGGTTATTCATCATTGGCTTGAGCTCCACTTAACAATTGGTCCTTCAAAACGGATCGTCTGGTGTTTCCCCCGAAGTGGTACGGGATACAGAAAAAAAGTTTCCAAAACTTAAAAGTTAATTGATATCTCCTGTGTTTCATTTGAATGTTTAATTGTAGGTCATACGGTCGTTCTGTATCTGTTGCTGCGGATGTAAAGCTTATGTGTTGGTGGGTTTGTGGATAGATCTTTTTTGCATGAAACGGTTCTTCGAGGTAAAGTGTTTGGATTTGGTCTGAGTTATTGCAGACTTCGAAATAGGCGGACCCTGTGGTTGCGGTGTATATGCCGGTACGTGCCGTAGAGGCTTAAACTAACAGTGTATGTGTGTATCAAATACCCAGTTTCTCCCCTTTCCTTGATTTTAACTGAAATGTACGCGATTTAGTAAATATTCAATAGGGTGTGGTTTAGAGGTTAGTGAACATGTGACAACGATGGACGCTAAGTTGATTTGTGGATTCTTTGTTGTTTCCTCTTCTTTCCTTATTTTACTTTGTATGTCTTTTCATATTTTTATACCCTTGCAGAGGGTATTATAATTTTGGTCAAAAGTGTGCAACGCAGTGAAGGAGACATCTCCGACCCTATAAAGTATATATATTCTTGATCAGGATCACCTCCTGAGTTGATATGAGCATGTCCGTCTGTCCGTCTGTCCGTCTGTCTGTCCGTCTGTCTGTCTGTTTCTACGCGAACTAGTCTCTCAGTTTTAAAGCTATCTTCTTGAAACTTTGCACACACCCTTCTTTCCTTTGCACGCAGTATATAAGTCGGAACGGCCCGGATCGGTCGACTATATCCTATAGCTGCCATATAACTGATTGATCGGAAATGGTATAACTTTGGTGTTTTTAGAGTTAGAGAATTCAAATTTGACACAAAAGCTATTTTTGGCAAAATAATACGACGTGCCAAATTTTATAAGGATCGGTCGACTATATCCTATAGCTGCCATATAACTGAACGATCGAAAATGACCCAAATTTCGTGTTTTTGAAGATAGAAAGCTGAAACTTAGTACAGATTCTATTTTTGATCAGTTGATCCAACTTACCAAATTTCATTAGGATCGGCCGACTATATCCTATAGCTGCCATATAACTGAACGATCGGAAATGGTTTTTGGTAGAAATACCAACTTTGGTATTGTTAAAGATAGAAGTTTGGGACTTGTTTTAAATTTTGTATTATAATAAATTGGGTTATATAATCATATTCTCATAAGGATCGGCCAACTATATCCGATGTTTGCGATATAAATCCGGTTTTAACTGCAAGGGTATATCAACTTCGGCTCCGCCCGAAGTTAGCTTTCCTTTCTTGTTTTTATTTTTATTATACCCTTGCGGAGGGTATTATAATTTTTGTCAAAAGTGTGTAACGCAGTGAAGGAGACATCTCTGACCCTATAAAGTATATATATTCTTGATCATGATCACCTGAGTTGATATGAGCATGTCCGTCTGTCTGTTTCTACGCAAACTAGTCTCTCAGTTTTAAAGCTATTGAGTTGAAACTTTGCACACACCCTTCTTTCTTTTCCACGCAGTATATAAGTCGGAACGGCCGAGATCGGCCGACTATATCCTATAGCTGTCATATAACTGAACGATCGGAAGTGACCCAACTTTCGTGTTTTTGAAGAAAGCAAGCTATAACTTTTTGTTTAGTTGACCCAACCTACCAAATTTCATAGGGATCGGCCGACTATATCCTATAGCTGCCATATAACTGAACGATTGGAAATGGTTTTTGGTAGAAATAACAACTTAAGTGTTCTTGAAGATAGAAGTTTGGGACTTTTTATACCCTTGCAGAGGGTATTATAATTTTGTCCAAAAGTGTGCAACGCAGTGAAGGAGACATCTCCGACCCTATAAAGTATATATATTCTTGATCAGGATCACCTCCTGAGTTGATATGAGCATGTCCGTCTGTCCGTCTGTCCGTCTGTCCGTCTGACCGTCTGTCCGTCTGTCCGTCTGTCTGTTTCTACGCAAACTAGTCTCTCAGTTTTGAAGCTATCGACTTGAAACTTTGCACACACCCTTTTTCCCTTTGCACGCAGTATATAAGTCGGAACGGCCCGGATCGGCCGACTATATCCTATAGCTGCCATATAACTGATTAATCGGAAAAGGTATAACTTTGGTGTTTTTAGAGTTAGAGAGTTTAAATTTGATACTAGAGCTATTTTTGGCAAAACATTACGACATGCCAAATTTCAAAAGGATCGGCCGACTATATCTTATAGCTGCCATATAACTGAACGATCGGAAAAGACCCAACTTTCGTGTTTTTGAAGATAGAAAGCTTAATACAGATTCTATTTTTGGCCAGTTGATCCAACCTACCAAATTTCATTAGGATCGGCCAACTATATCCTATAGCTGCCATATAACTGAAAGATCGTAAATGGTACTTGGTAGAAATATCAACTTTCGTATTTTTGAAGATAGAAGCTTGGAACTTTTTTTTAGATTTTTTATTGTAATAAATTGGTTTTATTATGATGTAATCATAAGGATCGGCAAACTATATCCGATGTTTGCGATATTTATCCGGTTTTAACTGCAAGGGTATATCAACTTCGGCTCCGCCCGAAGTTAGCTTTGCTTTCTTGTTTTAGATTCGGTTTTGTAATTATTGTTTTATAATATGATATTCTCATATCTACAACTATATCCGATTTTTGCGATATATATCCGGTTTTACCTTTCTTGTTTTTGAATAATTTATTTTATGAAAGAAGTCAGTGTACAACCCAACGCCACTCCGGCGCGTCATCAGCTTTTGGTGGTACATCTATACGAACACTTTTATCATGAGATGTCACATCATCATCTTATGAGATGTTCCATATATGCACTGCGTAATCTATAATAGTATAAAATTAAGAAGAAATTTTTAAGAGAGTATTTAAAACTTTGCTCCACCAAAAGCCATTTTCTACCAAATTCTCATACTCTAGCTAAGCAATAAAACCGTAAACTCTTTTATTTTACTCCGTTAATAGGCTTGTATCCTTATGAATAATATTCAACAACTTCGAGTTCAATTGGAAAAAATGTTCGAGTCCATGGGTGGGGATAAGTTAGAAGAAGATGCGGCTAACATTTTAAAAGAACTTCAACAAAATTTAAACTCTTCACTGGATGATTTGGCATCACAATTCGCTATCAGGTGGGACTTTAACTAAATTTATATCGTTAACTATAACTAAGAGGTTAAATACATTTTCAGCTTGGAACCACGAATCACCCAGTCCGTCCGTGAATTAGGGGATATGCTACTTTCTATTAAGGGAGGAAGCGGAAATCTTTCAACTGCTAACCAAGTAATTCAACGCAATGCGGTCGCTGTTGAGGCTGATGAAGTTTTAAGACCACTTATGGATTTGCTGGATGGTTCATTAACACTATATGCCCAAACGTGTGAAAAAACTGTTCTTAAAAGGTTATTGAAGGAGTTGTGGAAAATTGTAATGCGCATATTGGAAAAAACAATCGTTCTACCACCAATGACTGATAAAACTGTTAGTACCGATCTTTTTTATTCGATAATTCACTGATATACATTTTTTAAATAGATGATGTTTAAGCACTTGACTGATAATGCAAAGAATTTGGCATCCAATGCCAAAATAGAAGACATGGGGCGGCTGTTCAAATCTCACATGGCAGGAAAACAAGATGTTAAAAGTGCGCTTAGCGGAGTAATGGACATATCAAAGGAAGTCGAAAAAAATTTGTCACCTAAACAGTGTGCCGTGCTGGATGTTGCCTTAGATACAATTAAGCAATATTTTCACGCTGGTGGAAATGGACTGAAAAAGACGTTTTTAGAAAAATCATCGGAACTACAAAGTTTACGTTATGCACTCAGTCTATACACACAAATGACCGACACATTAATAAAAACGTTTATATCTAGTCAAATTCATGAAGGTAAGCAAT